CATGCTATACTACTATACTATACTACGCTGTACTCTGGTAGACTATAGTATATAGTATATGTATATATAGTATATACATGCTATACTACTATACTGTACTACGCAGTACTCTAGTAGACTATAGTATTTAGTATATGTATGTGTAGTATAGACATACTATACTACGCTGTACTCTAGCAGACTATAGTATATAGTATATGTATGTATGGTATATACATACTATACTACACTGTACTCTAGTAGACTATAGTATATAGTATATGTACGTATAGTATATACATACTATACTACTATACTATACTATACTACGCTGTAACTGAGGACGGGTGTCGCCTCCAAATCCAGGAAACTGTTAAGCAGTTGGAAATTGTTCCAGTGTCCATCAGGAGGGGATCGAATAACTACGTCCTGGAAGGCCATGTGATCCGAGCACAAATGGCATCGTCACTCCCACTGAAGGCCTGCGGTGGCTCTCCTTGCACTTAGGATACAGTGCAGACGCCTTCAGAACCTGCGTGCTCTCACCTGGCCTCCTCGCTGGCCGCGTCTGTGCCATCCCCCTCGTGCTGGGATCTTTGCTTTCTCGGACACTTCCCTTTGTAGGCCCTCTGCTCATGGGATTCTCTCTGCCTGGACCACTGCTCCTCCTCTTCGGACACTAACTCCCCCTTTCTCTCAGCTTTCAGTGTGAAGGACCTCTCAGGAGCGGCTGGGCTCCGTCCCACCTCCATCCCTCACGCCCTGGTTTTTCCCGTAAGATCTCAGTCTGTAATTTTCGAGTCTCCTCGGCCTTCCACGAGGATGTGGATTGTGTGTCTCTTGTCGAGTGTCATCACCCAGCGTCTGACACACTAGGTGCGAAATAAACTTGTTTTCAGTGAGTGATTTTACATTTGTAGGGGTCGTTGGTGAGTGAAAGAAATCGAGTCTCAGACAGGCGTAGAATGATCCATTTACAAGAATAAAAGGAAGATTTCTACACACGTATATGTGTGTGTTTGTGTAAGCATAGGAAAGAGAGTGTGTAAAGATTTGTACACGTGTGTGTGTGTTCGTGTAAGCATAGGGAAAGAGAAAGCAGCACCCAGCCTGCTTCCCGTTACCTCTGTGCAGTGGGCTTGGGTCGGAACCTTTCATGGCCTATTTTATTTACTCCTGTGTTGTCATCTTTTTTTTTTTTTGCAGTGGGCATGTATTACCTACTTAACGAAGCAGTAATATTAAAAATAAATCCAATTAGAATTTCCAGCTTTCATTTTTAACAATCACATGTTTCATTATGGCCAGTGACCCTTATTATGGACGTTTTTACGGACTTTTCAGTTAGTAAGAACTTGGACATACAGAGTTTGCTTTGGTTTAGGCCAGTGAACTAACTCCCTGTTGGGTGCGGTGAAGCGAGGAGCTCCCGTGTCTGCTCTGTGCTCAGTACTCACAGGACGCTTCTCTTCTGACACTTCTGGCTCCAGGCGTGGGCGTCCCCACACCCAGCAGTTCTGCTACACCGGCCCGGTGTCCTACGCCTTGGTTCTGCTCTACCCGGAGTCAGTGTCAGACCCCACGGGGTGAGGGCTCAGTCCCACAAGACTACCCCCCACTACGGTCGCCCATTGCGAGTCCGTGTTGTCACCTGTGCTTCTGACCCCCTGGCTGTAAATCAGAGGTTCCCACGACTGGACTCGGTTCAATGAATTTGCTAGAGCAGCTCACAGAACTCAGGAAAACAGTTGACTCACTAGATTACTGTTTTCTTACCAGAGATATTAAAGGATACGAATGAACAGCCAGGTGAAGAGACAGGGTGAGGTCCAGAAGGCCCCGAGCAGAGGAGCTTCTGGCCCCGGGGACTTTGGGGTGTGCCACCCTCCTGGCACGTGGATGCGTTCTTGGTCACCAACACAGAAGCTCCCTGAACCCTGGAGTGCAGGGATTTTTGTGGAGGCTTCATTACTTAGGCATGAATGGTTAGTTAAGTCACTGGCCATTAGTGATCAGGTCAACCTGCAGCCCCTCTCTCCTCCCCAGAAGTCTGAGGGCTGGGGCTGGAAGTTTCAGCCTCTTAGCACATGGTTCGTGACCCTGGCAACCAGCTCCCTTTCTTAGGGCCTTTCCAGAAGTTACCACATCACCATAAACTCAGGTGTGGTTGAAAGGGGCTTGTTATGAATAAATATCATAGCTTAAGATGCCCCTGTGGCTCTTAAATAGGGAATTATTTAGATGGTATGTGCCAGGAGCTGTGGACAAAGACCAAATATATTTCTTACAATAAATCGCAGTATCCCAGGCACTCATCAAAGGCTGTGAATGCGTCCGGTCTGTAGGTGATTCAGGAGTTCTGATTAAACCTCATGCCTGTTAGCTTGGCCGTCCTTGAAGGATCCTTGACCGTCAGGCTCCCCCCAGTGCGGTTCCCCCCCAGCGCGCCTCTCCCCCAGCGCAGGTCCCGGCTTTCAGCCTCCCGTGTACGGGTCACATGCTTTGCACACACCACAGTGCTTAGAATTCACCTTTGAAGTGGTGTCTGCCTCCAGCTGCTCTGGTTTGGAAGTGACAGAGGGCTGCGGGTTGCCCGGAGGTTGGGTGGGGTTCCCGTGGGTGAAGGCGAGGAGGAGGAGGACCGAGGGAAGGAGCAGCATGGACAGAGCCCTGGGCTGTGCCAGGGGCCTGTCCGGTGTGTGTCGGGGGTGTGGGGGATAAGAACACACAGAGGGTGGGTGTCCCTGAGACCTTCCAGGACGTTTTGTTCCCTCTGTCTTCACATCCTAATGACACCACTCCTGACCGGGTGCCGTATCTTAACTGTGTGAAACTCCGGGTTCTTGAACAGTCAGAAATGAGTCTGCGGAGCTTCCCGAGTGCTGATTACTGCCTTCGAGAGATTTGCATTTGAAAGTGAGGTTCTGTCCTTCACCTCTGAACCCTCCTGTGATTCTGTGTTCCCAGCTTGTTCGGCTGTGCAATGAAGGAGCCCGGAAGATGGAAAGGACCGAGATGATGTACACGATTAACTCCCAGCTGGAATTTAAAATCAAGGTATTCTCCTTCTTTTTCCTAAACAGATTTATTACTGCTCTTGCTTAAATCTTCTGTGAATAGAGAGAGAGTGGAGGGCAAGGAGTGGATAGGACTTTGCTTTCCAAAGAAGGGCCGTAAGTTGTTAGAGAGAGGGAGTCCCAGGTGCTCCGGACAGTTCTGCCCTTGCTGGTGCCAGATGAAGTGACCTCTCTCCAGGCCTTGAAGTCGGGTATTATCTAACAAGCACGTTTTTTTCCAGGAAGACATCAAACTTGGGAAAAGGGTAGTTAAAAATAATAGAATTTTAGAATGGAAAGATCTCTTCCGTATTCTCAAGTGTCCTGCAAATCAGTGGTATCCCGTGAGCTGGACCAGAGTGTTCTCCCAGATAAAATACGGACACTCTTTTTCCAGTTTGAAAAAAGATTGTTAGTGGATTGTTCTTTTCAGATCTGTTTTGACTGTGTGCTCTCTGCTGCTGCTCAGGACAGATGACGGAGGAACAAAGAAGAAATGACAGTTAGTAGCGAGTCTAGGCCCGGTCAGTCCTCTGTTGGCTGACAGCTGAGTTCTTCATGGGTGTGAGTGCTCACGACTGTGACTCAGTTTCGTTTTGTAAGGTGCACATTTAATTAAGCAACTTCGTATTTTTTCGCGGTAAAAGTGCTCCTGCTTCGTGCAGTGGCATCTCGTGGCTGCTGCAGAGAACAGATTCTCTGCCACGTCGTGTAGCTTGAGGACCCTCACCCAGTACAGCCACCCCTTTCGTCTAATCAATGGGGAAAACAAGGCCCTGAGAATAGTTCATTGTGAACAGGGTCACTCGGCTGGTGGAGGCAGATCAGGACGAGGGTCTAGGTGTCCTGACTTGCGGGTCAGTGTACACTCTTCCACTGTAAACCCTGACCACAGCGATTTAGTTGCAGAAACATGGTCCATCATTCTTAGAGCAGAAGACGGTGGGTACCTGCTGAAAACAACACAGACACCACACTTGCAATAGTTACGATTTCCTCATACAGAAACTTATAGCAGTTTCAAAACCCGCCTTCTCCTGTCCTGCAGAAGGAATCTTGTCCTTCTCTGTATTTTGTTTCTAAATATTTTAGAAAATATGTCTGGACATCAGAAATTTTTTTATCCCCTTCTCTTTAAAGATGATAAATCTCTTTAACCATTTTTCTTTTTCCTTCTTGACTGAAAATCAATTGGTTTAAGATATCTTTAAGCTCTGTTTCTCTAGAACCCAGAATTAATTTCCAATCGAAAAATGCTTATTCCAAGGATCCTTAAAAGTAAGTGATTAACATCAATTGAGGGCATGCGTTTTTGGTTGTTTGTTTTCTTTTGGTTCAATGATTAAAATATTTGCAAGCTTAAAGGAAAATATTTTTAGTTAAAGTAGCTTTATAATGAAGCAGTTAATTCAGACCACGTAGAAACACTAATAAAATCTGAGGACCCCATTTCCCTGACACTTTGTGGATAACTGTGGACATTTTTCATCAGTTCATTTTAAAGATGAGAAGATAGATGTTCGAGAAGTTCAGTGATCTGTGCAAGCACACGCATCCTTTCACAAGTTGAATGAGCACCTTCTCTGGGGAAGGCAGTGGGAAGGCAGACTCAGGATCCTGCCCTCGGGAACTTACCGTCTAGAGACCACAGAGGTCCAGAAGGGCTGCCACGCCTGCAGCTGTTGCAGTGGATGGAGGACTATTGTGAGCGCTGGAAATGTGGCAGCCCGAGAGTGAGGATAGAGGGGCCGGGGCTTGTAGCAGGTGGGCAGGTTCCTACCAGAGGTGTGAGCTGAATCTTGAAGGTGAGTTAGGGAGGGTCTTCCAGGAGTAAGGAGCAGGAACAAATGCATGAGGCATGGTTTCCACCGCTGTAGCCCCAGCCTTGTCTGCATCCACGTGCATAGACTTGGGGTGCGAGGTGTCGACGCAAAATAACCAATGACCATTCTATAGATAAGAGAAATACGGTGCGTTTACTTGAACCAGAGTGAGGATTATAACCCGGGAAGGCCTTAGAAAGCATTCCAGAGAAGCATGGTTTTCAGTACAGTCTTGTATCTTTTTAGAACAAAGGACATACATTAAACACACCCAGGATACATTTTCATCAAAATTTCAAAGAGGTGTTCAATTGCAAATTAGCAGGTCAACAGGACTGTGATGTCAGGAAAGGGAACTAATCCCGGCCAGCAACAGCGTTACCAATAGGGCGTTACCAATAGAGCGTTACCAATAGGGGACGTGTGCATTCTTAAGAGGAAGAGAGTGTGTTCTTTACTTTAATGGTTAAGCAGATGTACAATGTATGTTTGATAGGCCATAAGTCAGGCTACTTAGTTCAAGCCAAATCAGTTTTGAACCTGAATAGTTACCCCATTTACCTCAATATGTGAGAGTGTCTTGTCAGAGGGGAGCAGGGCAGAGCCAGAGCAGTGGGCAGAAGCTCACAGGGGGCCTGTGTGCCAAGAGGAGGGGCTGAGCGAGGTCGTCCGGGAGCTTCTGAGAAGTTCTAAGCAGAGAAGTGACACGACCAGACATGCATTTAGTAATGACGACTTCAGCAACATGGGAAAACGGCCTTTCGTGCTTATGTCCAAATCCAGAAGTCACTCAAAGAAAAATTAATAAATTCATTGATATGAAAATTTAAAAAATTTCTCTATAGAGAACAAAATAAAAGCTATAAAAAAATGAAAAGGGAAATAGCAAATTGGAAAAAAATATTTGCAGGTCACATAGAGACAAAGGGTTAATGTCCCAACATATAAACTCAAAGTGATAAGAAAAAGATAAGGGGGGAAAACCCATCAGAAAATGGCACATTAGAAAAGTGCTCCTGGAAGAGGAAATACAATTGACTGGTAAACATTTGAAAAGATGCTTTACCTCAGTCAGAGGAAAATCGCTAATTGAAATTGAAATAATGCGTTTCACCTCTCAGAGTTATAAATGATTCAGAAGTTTGATAACATTTTATCAATGAGGTTGTAGGGAAAGGCACTTTATATGTCGTTGGTGGGAAAGACTGTTAGAACCCCAATGGTGCAGTTTGGCGATAACCATCAAAATAACAAACACAAGTTACTATGACCGGCAATTTTTAAGAATTTATCCTGTAGATAGACTCATGAATGTATAAGATCACACACACACGTATATACAGACACACACACACACAATTGTTTGTAGTTGCAAAAGATTAGAAACAACCTAAATATCTATCAAGAGGGGACTGATGAAATCACTTACAGTACGCCCAGATGATGTAATACCACTCAACTAAAAAAAAAAAAAGAATGAAGGAGAATTTCGGGTACTGAGGTGGAAAGCTTTCTCGTATATTAAGGGAAAAAGGAGGTGCAGAACAGAAGGAAGAACAGGATACAAAATTTGCTTATGTGCAGGAAATCTCTGGAAATTACAGAAGAACAGTGACAGTCAGTGCCTTGTGGGGGCAGTGGTCACTGGGGCCTAGCGAGATGAGGAGCAGGGTGGCAAGGTTTCTCACATAGTGGTTTTTATAGTACTTGCATTTTTTTAATCACCCCCCCACACACACACAGCAGGTTCAGTATGTGGTTTGAAATGTGTGCTCCGGCAGCCACATGGAGGGTGAGTAGAGAACGTAATGAGACTGAGACAAAAACCGGTTAGGAGACTGGAAGCCGACGTAGAGGGCCAGGCAGGGTGCTGGGACGGGGCAGGAGCGGTGGTCCCACAGGCGGCCAGGCTGGTTGACTGGATGGAGACTCACACCGACCCCTGAGATCGGGATCCACGAGGAGGAGCAGCACTGAGGGAGGTGGCGAGGTCTGTGCTGGTTCATGGTGTGGTGACTCTAGCACAGCCGATGCTGCTGTGAAAATACTTATTACTATTTCCTGTGTGCCATTTTCCCGTAGTCTCATTTAATTCTCACAAGAACCCCATGAAGTATCCTGTCATTATACCCATGTTATCATTGAGGAACCTGAAGCTAGAGATAGTAAATAATTTGCTCAAAGTCATGCTAAGAAGTATTGCAGCCTAGAGTCATTCAGACATACATCTGACTTCAGAGTCCACATTCCTAACAATGACAGTATAATAATGCTGGTCATCTTCTAATTTGAAGGGAAAAAAGCTCGTATGTATGTGTGTGTGTATAAATATATACATGTATGTATGTGTATCTGCATGAACACACTTACACATGTGTTTCAATTTTAAATGTGTCAGTTTCTGGAAGAGCGTCCACGGCGGTAGATTGAGAGGGGTGGAAACGGTCCCCTGGCATGGCGCGTCGAGGCCAGGGGACGTCAAGAGCGTGGACTCTGCAGCTGTCCTGCTTCAGTTCCCCTCGTAGCCCCACCACTCACCAGCTGCATGACCGTGGGTGTCACCTAACTTTCGTGGCTTAGTTTTCTGAACTGTAAAATGGGGCTGATAACAGTACTTTTGCTCATGGAGTTATTGTGAGGATTACATTAATAGTAGATGTAAAGGACTTGGGACAGACCTGGTTTGTACAAACAAACAGTCAACACCGTTCAGAGGCTTTGTCTGAAGAGTGTCACAGGCACGGCGGGCGTGCTGCAGTCTGCTGACCATTGAGTGGGGGGGGAAACAGTCTAAACAGGTTTGACCTTCATTCAAGGAGCTTGGTGGACAGAAGAGAAGTGAGAGTTATAGAGAAAAATTTGGTCACCAAACTAAGATCAGAGACCAGAACTTAATTTGTGCCTGAGATCCAGTGTGTTTTCTCCATAGACTACAGCTGTCTCTAAAAGTCTCCTCCCCGAGTTGGGGAGGATTATTTTTGTCTGGTACTGGAGGGTTTGACCTTACACACTAGGACTGGAGAAGTTGAGGGTTCTGGGGCTGCTCCAGGAGCCATAACTTAGGTGTGACCGAGTGGGGAGGGGTGTGACCGAGTGGGGAGGGGCTGTGACCGAGCGGGGTGGAGTGGGGAGGGGCTGTGACCGAGCGGGGTGGAGTGGGGTGGGGGTGTGACCAAGCGGGGGGTCTGTGACCGAGCGGGGGGGGGGGGGCTGTGACCGAGCGGGGAGGGGGTTTGTGGTTGGTGTTTGGGGGCCTTGCTGGCAAGCAGAAGGCCAAGATACAACAGACAAAACAAAGAACTCGAAGTCTTCGCACTGTAGAGACAGTCTGGTGGTTCCTCAAAAAGTTAAACGTGGAATTACCACATGACCCAGCAGTCCCCTCCTAGGTATATACCCAAGAGAACTGAAAACAGTTGTTGAGTAAAAACTTGTACACGAATGTTCATGGCAGCATTATTCATAATAGCCAAAAAAGTGGAAACAACCCAAATATCCTTCAACAAAATTGGTGACTTGATAAGCAAAATGTAATATATCCATACAATGAAGTAGTATTCAGCCGTAAAAAGGAATGAAGTTCTGATACATGCTACAACATGAATGATACATGCTACAACAACTATATAATTCAGTTTATATGAAATGTCCTGGATAGGCAAATCCATAGAGTTAGAAAGTAGGATGGTGGTTGCCAGGGCCTTGGGGAGGGCAGAGTGGAGGGTGACTGTGTAGTGCTCTGGGGGTTCTTTTTAGGGGAGTGAAAATGTTCTGGGATCAGACAGTGTCCGTTGCACAACATTATGAATGTGCTAAAAGCCACTGAATTATGTGTGTACTTTTAAACAGTTAAGTGATTAATTTTATCTCAATTACTTAAATTTTATCTCAAATTAGTTAAATTTTATGCCAAGGCTAGTTTTCTAGGATGCTAAGTAACTCAAAAAGGAATGAAAAGTCTTCTCCATAGGAATTGTATCATGCCTTTAAGATACGTTTTTGTTCGTGAATTTTTCTGTTTTTTGATTCGCACCTAGATGCTAGTCTTAGAGCTTCTGAACTATGGGAAGTCACTTATGCCCATTGTGGTTTGTTCTGATTCTTTCCTTTTGGTCATTTTCATAATTTCTTCTTTAAAAATAAACTATCTGAAATAAAATCTTTAAAAAAAATTTAAAAAAAAATGGGCCGGCCCTGTGGCTTGGTGGTTAAGTGCGCGCGCTGCTGTGCTGGCGGCCCGGGTTCAGATCCCGGGTGCGCATCGAGGCACCACTTCTCCGTTCATCCTGAGGCCGAGTCCCACATACAGCAACTAGAAGGATGTGCAGCTATGACACACAACTATCCACTGGGGCTTTGGGGGGAAAAAATAAAATAAATAAAATCTTTAAAAAAAATTTAAAAAAAAAAATAAATAAATAAACTATCTGAATGAGTTTAATCTTTTAACAATAAATTCTGAAACAATTCCCGTTTATAATATCGGATTTTTGTTTTCAAAAGAAGCATAGATGTAATGAAAGCCACTGTCAATTTTAGATATTCATTAGAAGTTTATTTTTGCCTAGTGGAGTAGGAGGAATCCCTGAAAATCAGTCTATTTTAAAAACAACAGAACAGTTTAGAAACCTTTCTTCCCCCATCCCCTAAACTGAGAACGGTCACAGGCTGGTCTGTCCACGGGGACTTAGCCACAGTCCTGTCCCCGTTCATCCTGTAGGGTTGCATGCAGTAGTAGGAGACCACCGTGTTCCCAGTTACGATGGCCCTCAGAGGACCTACCTGACAGGCGGTTCTTGTGTGCGCTGGGGGCCCCTCCTGAGTTTTCTAAGCAATCTCTCTGTCTGTGGCCTTTCAAGCCTTAGCCATCCTGTTGGATAATTGTCTGCTTTGAGATTTGGGGCCTGGAAACTCCATGAACTCCCTTAATAGCCGTTTTTAAAGTTTGAGGTCAAACATAATCTTTCATCTTGTTTTTTAAACCTTCAGGAAAATCGTATATAAGTTATAAGCAACCTTCTTATAAAAGTCCTTTATGAAGTTAAAAAAAATATGAAATCCTTTCTTAGCCTCTTGTTTCCTCCCTAATATCTTCAATTTCCTTTAGCTATTTTTAATCATTATTCCCTGAAAAGAAGGAGATTTGGTTGCACCACAGTAAGACGGTTATGTTTTGTGTCCAAGAGCTTTTGTTTATTTTATGGATATAGTTTTTTAAATCAGATTTTTGGCAGTAAGTATTTCTGGTAACTTAAAAAGAAAAAGAGCTCTCAAGGGTAAGGATTATTCTGTGGTTTTGAGAGTTTTCCAGTTGGAAACTGGAAACTGAATAAAGAAAAAACAGGCTGTGATTCCTTGTGCATGGCCTTTCTATGAGAGCAGCATGGATTGTTTGGAAGAACTTGGTTTTCACAGCCAGAAAGTGACATGATGCTTTCAGGGGTCGACTTCCATGAGGAGAACCACCATGGACTTAAGAGCGGGTGTTCTCCAGGACATGGCAAAGGAGGTTATCAGCAGACAAAATATACATTTGCTGGGCTTTTTTCCTTTAGAATAAAGTCTTTTTAGTTCATAAAGTGAACGCAGACTTTTTTGTCTCTTGTTAACCACAGTTATCCATGTTTTCCCGTACGTTTAGATTCTGATTTGTGGTATTTAAAATAACTCAGTTGATACCGACAGATTGCATTTTGAGGCTTTTCAGTCTTAAGTGACTCCTGATCCGTTTTCCTTTTCAGTTGAGACTTAGTGGAAGATATCGTTTTTGGTTGACTCAATAGCGTTTTCTCATTGAGTTTTCATTGCCATATAGGCAAGTTAATAGTTTCTTATATTGGAAAATAAATTGATTTTCATTTTTTCTTGGAGAATGTACTGTACTTCTGTATTATATTTCCCCATTATATAGAATAATGTTGCATATCATACTATGTATCATTTGTTTGAATGTCAAGGGACTTGAATTGGGCTGTGGGTGCTGAGTTCTCTCTGTTTGCAGCCATTTCCCCTGGTCTCCTCTTCGCGGTGGTTGGTGAAGAGAGGCGCGCTGATGGCCTACGTGGAGGACGCTGGGCTCTTCTCGAGGAGGACGTCCAGACAGCAAGTGTACTTGTTTCTCTTCAACGACGTGCTCATCATCACCAGGAGGAAGAGGTGAGCCTTCCGCGGCGGTGCTGGCTGTGCGTCCAGGCGTAAAGCTCTGCCAGTCGAGTGCCTGTAGAGGAGACCGATCCTCCTTGAAAGCTGGAGGTGTTGGATGTGTAGTTCCTACACGAGGAATCGTGGTAGCGTCTGTGCCTCGCTTTCTCCTGTCTGGTTACCTGTCCAGTTAAGACCCGAACCACCATCAGCATCGTCCTCCCAGCCAGCCTCCGCTGAGCTCTTACAGCGTGGAAGCCACCGTCCTCGGCGTTCCACACGTTTGCCTCGTTGAGTTCGCACCACAGCCCTGGGGGGCAGCGCTCTTGCTGTTCCCAGCCAGCATTTCTCACACGTCTTCTGCTGTAGACTTTGTACAAATCAGATAAAAGTCACCACGGTTGAGAACAAGCTGGGGCACAGCGCTGGTGCTCCTCGTAACTTAGTCTGAAATCCAGTGCTCTTAGTGATTGTGAGTCTCACAAGTCTCCCCCGCCTGGGAAGGTGTGGGCAGTGCTCCAGTGCCGCCTTCCTAGGGGAGGGAGCGAATCAGCGGGTGGGCAGGGTGTTTATTTCTCTTACTGAGACTGCTGCTTGTGCGCGCGTCCAGCTCTAGGGAGAATCGGGAGGGACAGTGTGCAAGCCTTCTCTGTGCACATTTGTTCTCACTGTCCCCACTCCCACACACACACACACACACTCCCCTTGGCTCTGCCTTTCTGGAGGGAGCGTTCTTTATTAACGGTACTCGAGGATTGTAAACTGTCTCCCTTCTGGCCCTACGTAAATATTCCATCTCTCCTGGAATATGGATTTAGAGAAAAACACCCGTCTGTGGTGTGTTCTTCCCACACGTGAAGGCCGTGATGAGAGGCCGAGTCGCTGCATGTCCTGGGAGTAGGTGGTCACGGGTACGGTTTAGACAAGGTGAGGAGAGCCACGGGCTTCTGTGAATACATTAAATAAATGCCCAAACTTATCATGACCTATTTGTTTAAATTCTGCTTCTGAGTTGCTGACATTTTAGCTTGAAAATTCAGACTAAATTGGAACAAAAGTTGAGCTTTCCTTTTTCTCCCTTGATCAGACTGTCTCGTGAATTACTTCTGCTGCTTGGCTGTCCAGCTGGAATGAAACTTTGCGTGGTCCACCCTGCAAAGCCCCAGTACGACCATGACAAACACAAGAAAATGCCCAGGGTTATTTTTCACACGTAGGAAAATGGTGGTTCCGTAACTTCAGAAAGAAATTATTTCTTACTTGGGACAGTTTAAATAGTTCTGGTAGCTAAGTAAATTTTATAAATAAAGATTGGAGGAGAATTATAATTTTGTATTTTTATGTTTTGTTGGTTCTCTGTGAGATAGCTTGTTTCTTTGGCTTTCTTTGAGATGTTTTGTTTTTAGGGGAGAGTAATTATATAGGACTCTTGACCTCTGACATCTTCCAGCTGTTGAAATATTTGTTCTGTCTCAAGGACCAAAAGCTTTAACTAAACTTTTGATTTTGAAGATAAAATGTACATTGATAGTACCAAGCCAGTTTTAAACATAAATGCAGTTTGATTATAATGTCTTCAGTGACTTGATGAAAACATTAAGGGTATTAAACCAGTTAGCACAGCTTTTATCCTTGAACTTGGATAGAACTACCCAGTAAATGTTGACTTTCGGAAGTTAGAATTCAGGTACATGCTGCTCTACTTAGCCACGTCCTTTGCCTGCACGGAGGTTTTACCATTATGTCTGGTGTTGCTTTCCTAGCTGCTGCATGCTTACCTGCTCACGTGTGTTTGAACTTGTATTATTGCTAAAGAAACAACGGGACATACAGCTCCCATGGAGAGGGCCGCTTACGACCTGAGTTTGCTTTTACCAAAACTGGGTTTTTCCTGCCCTTACAGTTAGCGCTTCACGTTTCTAAGGTGCTCTCGACCCGGAGAGTGGCCGTGCAGGCTCAGGTTGTTTGTGGCCTGAGTACGTGGTGCGGATGATGAGCGGAGCACGGCAGCGTGATGAACACGCGTGTGAGGAATGTGCGTGTGTGCAGCGCGCTTACACGGCAGCTTCAGGGAGGCCCCTGCCGAGGCTTCGCTGCCAGAGGGGCGGCGGAGGAGATCCACCAGCTGCCAACGGGCAGTAACTTAGGCTTGGCGACGAGGCTCGGGTAAAGGGTCGTTACCTGTGCCCGCTCTGTGCACGATCCAGGCACCCACTGCCCAGCTGTAGGGCCGGGGTCAGTGGAGGAGCTGACCCCTGGGTCTCCAGTGGGTTTCGGCCTCAGGGAGGCTCCCGGCTCCCGGGACAGACAGCTGGGGAGGACGGTCACTCGTCCTCCTCGCGTCCAGCCGGGCGGGTGGCTCATGCTGAGCTGGTTCCACAGATGCTGGGCCGTGGCTCCGCCTCAGCGTGGGGGGGCGAGCATTACTGCGGGAGCTTGCAGGACGCTGAGTGACCGTGGGGTTGTCTCCCAGGACAGGAACTCGCACCTTTTTAGAATACCATAAGGAAGTTTAAAGTGTCTGTTAGCTCCAGGCTGCTTGTGAGGGACTATATTGATAGTCTCCTTTACCAGATCTCAAAGGATACGTGGTCAGTTTGACTGTTTTGGATGAGAAAGAATTCCTTGTAGTTGAAGCCTCACTGCAGGGTCCCTGGTACCTGCTTCTAGAGCAGAGTTCTCCTCTCCACTGCTGAGGCCTGATGGTTCTTCGTCGGGGGTGCTCCCCTGTGCTTTAGTAGCATCCTGGCCTCTGCCCACCATTTGCCAGTGGTGCCTCCCTCCCAGTCGTGACAGCCAAAAATGTTCCTGTTGTCATATGTCCCTGGGGCCCAGATGGCCCTGGTCGAGAACCACTGTTCTAGGGTGATGGCACCCTGTCACCTGTCACCCAGCATTGCCTTCAGAGTGGAGAAGGTGTGCGGATCTGTCAGATCCGACACTTCAATAATAGTAACATTATAATAGGAAAGGAACAGATCATCAGTTGTGCTCATAGATTAATGAATGATAACTTAGTGTAATATCCAATTTGTGCCTAGTAGTAACTTATATTTATAACTAATTACCCATTGCAGTGTAGACTGTACCCCATGTACGACCTTAGGATTAAGTACAATTGTGCCCAGATTTGAAGTGTGAAAACTGAATCCAAGACCTCAACAGGTTCAAACTCCCCAAAGACATGTTGTGTAAGGTAGCTGACCGTCTTCTTCTTGTTCAATGCCTTGTGTCTGGCCTAGCCCTTCCCTTCCAGTTTCTTCTGAAGCTAAAAATAGTTTTTCTCCCTGTGTTAGTTTCCCACAGCTGCTATGACAAAGTACTACAGGCTGGGTGGCTTAAAACAATAGAAATTTATTGTCTCACAGCTCTGGAGGCAGAAGCCCAAAATCAGGACATCAGCAGGGCCCCAGTCCCCCCCCACAAAGGCCCCGGGAGAAAGTCCTGCCCTGCCTCTTCCAGCTCCTGGGACTGCTGGGGCTCCTTGTCTCCGTGGCGTAACTCCCGTCTCTGCCTCTGTCTTCACGAGGCTTCTTCTTTGCCGTGTCTGTGTCTCGTGAAATCTCTCTCTCCTTGTAAGGACACCAGTTATGGGGTTTAGGGCCGACTCTACTCCAGAATGCTTTCACCCGAACTTGATTACGTCTGCAAAGACCTTCGTTCCACATAGGGTCACACTCACAGGTACTGGGATTGGGACGTTGACATATTTTTTGGAGGGCACGGTTCGACTACTACACTCCCCCAGCCCGTCACCACTGCCTCACTTAAATGTGTAATTAATAAATGTGCTGCCATGTCTTACCTTCCTTCTAGAACACTGTTTTTTTAACATTGATTGATGCCATTTCTCGTAATGTCTGTGCTGTCATGGTCATGTGACCTGGACGCCTCTATTTGGAGGTCTCATAGGTCCCCTCCATCCAGATCTTCTCCTCCAGCCTGTTCCTTCTCCAGGGCCCATCCCCTCCTGAGTAAAGGCCCTCTGTCCCCTGGTTGCTGACAGTAACTCTGCAGGCTCCCTGCTCCTCACTCTGCTCCCCTGTCCACCCACTCGGGTCTTCCCAGCAGCCCATGAGCCTACGTCTCTGCTCTCCGTCGCCTGCCTGTCCACCAGCTGCCTTGAGTTCGCCTGTGGGACACACCTGACTGGATTCGTGCCCCGTCCCTCCACCCGCTTCACGTCCACAGCCCGAGGGTGCTTTGTCAAGACACGGCCACCCAGTTCGCCCCTGCAGACAGCCGTCCGTGGTCCTGCCTGGCCCGTAGCACAGAGGCCTCACTCCTAGCCACCAGGACGTCTCTCTGCCTGAACCCTCTCCTCCCCTAACCCACCGCTGCCCGGACCTTTCCTGGGCCGAGTCCTGTCCGTTCTGCAGGGCTTCCATTGTCACACCCGCTGGCAGTTCTTGTCCAGTCTTCTCGAGGGGGTTTGTTTCTGCTGCTCTGTGGTCCGTCAGACCCTTGCTCCCTCTCGCGTCACGTTTGTGCCTCTCTCTGTCAGCTCTGTCCCTTTGGCCTTGTGTCCTCAGCGCCGCCCGTGATGATCATCTATAAGTGTCTGCTGGGTGTGAACCAGTCGTGTCGGTGGTTAAACATGAGCAGTTTGAGTGAATGCATCACTCGGTGGGCAGGCTCCCCCCACCCCCAACTAAAATTTCTTTGCATTCTCTTTTATTTTTAAAAGAAATGTGATTTTCGTATTCTGCTCCACTATATATTCAGTTGTAAATAAACATTTTTAATTAACTTTAGCAAAAGTGCATAGGGAGCTTTGCTTGTCGAGTGGCTCCTCTCACCCTCTGAAATTCTGCCTGTGAACTCATCCCAAATGCATGTGCCTTGGTCTGAGAAACTCCAGGGGCTGTTTGCAGACTGGGCTCTGTGGAGGCGGGTCCTGGTTAGCTTGTGTTTGGTGCTATTGTGTCAACTGATGTTTGAGCTGCAAGTACTCGCACCAAAGGGTTTAAGCAGTAAAGGTGTTGAGTTACCTCACACACATGCACACGCATGCA